GTGGAACCTGCAGGGACGGCTTTGGCAGGCAACATCCAGTTCCACGCTCCCCACGTAGTGGCTTAGCAGGCTGACGGGAGGTGAGGGTGGCAGCGAAGAAGGGTCCAGCGATGTTTCAGTTTTTAAAAAATCTTTTTTATTTGACAGGAGAAAAGGCCCCACAAAATTCTAGCTGCCGTTTCTGAGACTGCGGCCCAGCCTAGGTCAGAGAGGAGGAAGCCCTGCTGGGGTCTCCAGAGGCCCCAGGACCACCTGGAGCAGGGTCCCCAGGAGCAGGAGCCTCATGCAGAGCTGAGTTTGCCGTTCTCTGGGGTCCAGGGAACAGCTGTGGTGCCGGTAGTGACTGGATGACGCGACCCAGGTGACAGGGACACCCAGCCACCGCTCAAATGCACAGCCTTTCAGAGTCAGGCCTGGGCAGAAGTGGGGGGCTGGGGCCTGGGAGAGGGGGCGGAAATGGCTGCTGTTTTTGAGGGGAAGGTTCCAGTTCCTGTCACAGGGACAGGGACAGGGACAACCCAGTTCTGTTATAAACAGCTGACCTGCCTTTTACTTTTTGATCTCTCACAAATGCTTTTTAAATTCATTCATTTAAAAACCGGGGTGAGGGCTGGGGATTCAGCTCAGTGGTGTTAGCAGGCGAGTGCGAGGTCGTGAGTTCCATCCCTGGTACCAAAAACCAAACAAAAAACAAAAAAACCCGGGTGTGGATGAAAACGTTGGTTACAAAGAAGGGAGCTGGAGGAAAGGCCTGCAAAGCGAACAGCGCCCCAAATGCTTGGAAAGGGCCCTGTGGTCCCCGCCAGCCGCAGGCCAGGGCGTTATCAGACAACGCGGGGCACTGGGCCCAAAGGAGCTGCCTGGCGAGATGGTGGGCTCGAGCCCGAGGACTTCCTGGAGGAGGCGCGGCTCCCGGTGACCTTGAAAAGGGCGCACAGTGGGTGTGGCGCTGACCTTGCAGCCCTGTGGACCCGGCAGCACAGGGCGGGCGGCGGGGCACAGCGCGTTCTGGGAGCATCGAGTCGCTGCCTCCACGGAGGAGCGCGGCGGGGCGGGCGGAAAGCGCCGCTCTCGGCTGAGCTGTGACTCTGACTCGGGGCGCCGGGCAGGGTTCGGCGAGTGTGCGCGGAGGGACGAGGGGTGGCAGGGCCGGTGGGGCCCCGAGGTCCTGCGTGCCCGGAAGGAACCAGGCCCTGACTCCGGCTGCGCGGTGACCTTGGCCGAGTCAGGGCCCAGGCCATGCGCAAAGGCGCAAAGGCGCGCAGTAACCTCGGTGGGTCCTTGCCTTGCTGAGGGTGGATCCCAAGTCCCCGTGGAGGAGGGGCTGGGCTCCCTGTCCTCTCTCCCCGGCTACCAAGTCTGACAGGAAGGCGCAAAGCGCAAGTTTCACAGGAAAACGGGGAAGAGATTTTTCTTTTTTGGATATGGGATCTCGCTGTGTATGCCAGGCTGCCCTTGAACTTCGCTCCTATTATCACCCTCCTGCCTGGGCTTTCCAGCGCTGAGACTCCAGGCCTGTGCCCAATTTCATTCTTTATAAACTTTGGGAAATTTTTAATTCTTTAGAATAAAGTAGAAAATGCTGGTGTAAGACACCGACTCGAGAAATAAAAACAAGACGCTTCAGTTCACTCTACCAGCCTTGGCTGACGGCCCCCAAGCCGTGTCCAGCGCTGCGCACCGCGCTCTTTGGTTCCTGGGGCGCAGGGGAGACGCGGCGGGGTCTTCACGGCCTGGGACCCGGCTTTCTCCCACTGGCCGGCCAGACCGCGTGCTGCACTCCCGGCGCAGGTCTCCGGCCTCGCGCATACGGGGACGCAGTGGGCTCCAGGCCTAGAGTCGAGGAGGCCACATCTTCGCCGAGCCCACTGTGGCTTCAGGGTTGGAGAACTCCCTGTGCGCGCGGGGTGGGGGTGGGGGGACACGACACGGGGTTGCCAAGCCAGAGACAGCAGTGGGGGGGGGGGCGCTGAAGCTGCAGCGGTAACCGAACTCCTCCCGTGCCGTCCGCATTTTGCAGTTTATAAAACTTTTCTCCCCATGCTCTCTTTCGTCTTTCTTTCCTCTGCTTTTAGAAGCGCTGGAAGCCCTGAAAGCCAGGGCCTTCTTAGTGCGCTGCACTCTTAGGTCTTTCTTTTCTTTTCTTGTTTTCTTTTTTCTGTCTCAGTTTTTAAATTTTGAGACAGGGTCTCGCTTAATTGCCTTGGGCAGGCATTTGTGATACTCCTGCCTCAGCTTACCAGCGGGCAGTGGTCCCAGGCGCACACCACACCTGGCTATAAAACATTCTTCACTGAAACCAACCGGTGTAACCCTGCAGCCCAGTCGCAAAGAGGAAATGGAGAGATTTGGACAAACAAGGCGGCAGGGGAAGTCCCAGGAAGCGCGGATGCCTTCACAAGTCCTCTCCTGTCCTCGCTTCCTGTCACTCCTCCAACGACAACAGACCCCACTGCTGCACGCTGCCGACAGGAGTGGGCCGGAGGGACAGGCCAGGCCTCAGTTCCTCTCCTGGGGACAGCTTCTCCCGGGACCCCGGGAAACGCCTGGTCCCGCACGCGCGTCCTCTGCCTCCTCTCCAGAGGCCGGGAAGCCGCGTGGAATCAATGACCCCGAACGCGACTCCGGTCGCCTCCGAACCAGCATCCTTGCCGGCCACGCTTCACTGCGGCGCATCCCCGAGCAGTCTCGGGGCTGCTTCTCCTGGATCCGCCCGCGTCCTGGGACCGGGCGCACGGAGCCAGGCTTTGCTGACTGTGGAGGCCGGGCGGAGCCGCGCCTGGGGGGAGGCGGGGAGCGGGAGGTCACCACCTGCAGGCCGCGCGCCCCACAAGGGGAGCGTGCTCCGCGTCCGCGAACTTGCTTGGCCTCGCGGTGCGGGGCGGACACACCGGGTCCCCGGGAACCCACCCCCGGGCCGTGCCGCGGGCCAGAGGCTTCGGAAGCCGATTGATAGTCTGGAAATAGTCTAGAAATTGGTGCGGAGGAAGTGGAAACATTTATCCTCATGGGGAGCCCAAAGCCAAGACCCTCCCCATAAAGATCAGCCGTTTGCTCCTTTTATTGCAAATAAATCTCCGGCCCTTGGTTCAGTTTCTCTTCTCAGGAATCAAAAGCGGGCGCCGGTGGTGTATGTAGCCTCCTCTTGGGCGAGATTTCAGGGCCCTTTGTTGCGCGCAGGTGCCGCGTCCTTGATACCAAACCTGGGTCTTCGCGACCTGGGTGGCTGCACTGGCTGCTCTGTTCTGATCCCGGCGCTCCGAAAAGCTGAACCCCAGATGCTTCCTGGGGCCTGACCCAGCCTTCCTTCCGGCGGCAACCGCTCCTGGGGGAGGGGGTCCCGGGCCTTTAACCCCGCCAAGGTCCCGGCAAAGCTGCCAGGTCTGCCGGCCCGGAGGCTGCAGCGGCTGCGCGTCCCGCCGAGGTCTCAGGCGCGGCCGGCATCGCTGCTATGCGCGGAAATATGAGCGAGTAATTTTATAAGTAACAAAGGATCAGGGATGGAATGAGGCCCTGTTATCCGATGTCATTTAGAAGCCTTGGATCAGCAGCTTCTTGAAGCTAAAAGTGAACCGAAGAAGCTCGGCCGGTCCCTCCCCAGCGGTGCCGGCTAAATTTAGCAGTAACCTCTGCGTGTTTGCACAAATCGCGTACCATTTGCTGTTTGTGTAAAAACCGATTAGCCAGACACAACTGTGAAACAACTTGTTACTTTTATAGCTGCAACACACAAACAGATTTAGATCCGTTTAGCTTTCCGTGTAAGAGGAGATTAGAGGGTCGGGCCCCGGACCCGCGGCTGCATCACCCTGGCTAGGGCGCCTGGCTCCCCGGCGCTCGCCAGCGCGCTGCTCCTTTTGAAGGCCGGAGGAGCCCAGAGCTACGCCAGCCAGGGACACCCGGTGGGCCACTTACGGGGGCACAGCGAGGGTTCACGGGGAAAGTGACCAGAGCCCACGCCGACTGAGGGGAGAGCAGGCCTGGCCCCGCGGGAGACGTCTCCGGGCGGGCGATAGCGCCGGGTCCACCGCAGGACGTGCACTGGGCCGGGGCGGCCTCCGCTCCCGCTTTCAGGCGACTCCGCATAAGTGATTGCAATGGTTCCGTTAATTACACAATTACCACTGATGCCCCCGAAAAGGGCAGAAGGAAGCGGTCTCCCGCGCCAACCTTTCATTTCTGCCTTAATTCCTTTCTTTAAAAAGATCGAAACAGCTCAGATGGACAAGGCACCGTCTCAGAGGCCGGTTCCATTCTGGCCCTAAAATCTCGCCTTTCACACTCACCCTGCCTAGGCAGGGCCTGGGAGGGCGGGTGGCGGGCACCTGTTTTTAACAGGGTATTAATTGCGATGCCTGGCCGTCAAAAAGGCTTGGGGCCGGAGGGAGGGAGGGGACATCTATAGGAATCCTCTAGAAATCCCATGGTGAGGTGCAGGTCAAGGCCAGAGAAAGGGAAAACCCTCATCTGAAAATATTAGGAAAGAATAAAGCCACCGTATTATCAGGCTAAATTATCAGGCTAAACAATCAGTGGTTATCTAGGCTGGCACTGAAGGGACAGCCAGGAATTTCAAGAACTGAGATTGAAATGCTAAAAGGAGGGATGTTTGGAATTCATTTGCTTTTGAAAGGATAATTAAAATGCCCAAGAAAGTCTTGCAAAGTTTTCACTGGGTGAAGATCATTTAAAAGACAGTACTGTGGTTTACAATTAGTTTTTTCAATGACAGCTTGCTTTACAGAGGTGTCTGGTCATTTATATTTAATGGGGTGATATGAATATCGCCCACATCCTGACTTTAAGTGAAAGCTAAAGAAAGAATACTAACATGATTTAAATTAAGTAAACTGCTCTTTTTCCAATTAAAATGACCTCACACTCAGATCATGAACTGGAAAGTTTGAGATGGTCATTATTTGACCACGTTTACACTTTTTATACAGATTCTATTTAAAAATCTTTCCATTTACCACAGACACCTGAATAAAACGGCGGGCTGACCATTTTAAAAATTTATTTACAAAGTTGTGTACAACACGATGGAATAACATTTAGAATGCCATATATATTCATTCATATATAAACAGACTTTTATAATAGTGACACTTCGCCTTTTTGAAAATTTTTGTAATTAAAATCTCCCAACGTCTTTATACATTCTTCTCTCAGATAAAACTGCGGAGAGTGAACCTTCGAAAAAATGAAAGTTCAGAGCTCTAAATCTACTGAATTTGTTTTTTATTTCTTAAAAAAATAAAAACCCCAAAAGGAAAAGTCAGTAATTTTTATACAAATATGTACAAAGGCCTTCCTTCTCCACTGCCCCCACCCAGGGTGCGGAGCAGGTGCCGTTGGTTGCATTTTTTTTTTTTTTTTTGGAGAACTCTGGCAAGGTTTTTTTACCTGTGCGGAAAGCTATTCCTGGCGGGCGGGCGGCGAGGCTGCTCCGTGCGCTCAGGTGCGCTCAGGACTGGAGGAGGCTACAGCCGCGGGGCTGGGTGGCAGCGCGGCCGGCCGCTCGGGATCCGCGGCGGGTGGCGCAGTCCGTCAGGGATGGTCGCTCGGCATTCGGTGGGCACGGGCCGGGCGCGCGTCCCTACTGCGCCGGCCACTTGGCCTGCGCCGCGGCGGCGGCGGCGGAGGCTGCGGGCTGCAGGAACTGTCCCGAGAGCGGCACGCTCAGGATGGGCGCGATGGCTGCCGTCGTCCGGCTCAGCGACAGCGGCTGGTGCGCGGCCACGAGCGCGGCGGGCTGCACGGCCCCGGGCGGCCGCAAGAAGGGCTGCGCCGCGCCGCCCGCCGTCCCGGCGCCCCCCGCAGGGCTCCCCGCGCCCCCAGGAGTCACCGCCGCGCCCCCGCCGCCTCCCGCGCCCGCTGCGCCTGAGCTCGCGGGGCCCGCGCCGATGATGTTCTCGATGCTGAACGACGGCCGCGCGCTTGGCTCCGACTTGACCAGGGCCGTGGCGCCCGAGGCCGCAGCTGCCGCCGCCGCCGCGCCCAGCCCGCCGAGCTGCAGCTGCAGGCCCGCGCCGAGCTGCGCGCCGAACGCCGCGGCCTTGCGGCCCAGCTCACCCGAGGGCAGCAGTGGCACGGCGGGCGGCAGCACGGGCGGCACGGGCGGCAGCGCGTACGGGTACTGCAGCACGGCGGCAGGGTGCGCGTAGGCGCCGGGCGCGGGGTGCAGCCCGTAGGGGCGCGCGTAGGGCCCGGCCGCCAGCCCGTAGGCGCCAAAGCTCTGCATCATGAGCGCCGTCTGCTCGCGCAGGTGCTCCTGCTGGTGGCGCTTGAAGCGCTTCCGGCGCCGCAGGAAGCTGCCGTTGTCGAACATGTCCTCGGACTGCGGGTCGAGCGTCCAGTAGTTGCCCTTGCCCGGATTGCCCGGTTCGCGGGGGATCTTTACGAAGCAGTCGTTGAGCGACAGGTTGTGGCGGATGCTGTTCTGCCAGGCGGGGAACTTCTCGCGGTAGTAGGGGAAGCGGTTGCTGATGAACTCGCAGATGCCGCTCAGCGTCAGCTTCTTCTGCGGGCTCTGCAGGATGGCCATGGTGATGAGCGCGATGTAGGAGTACGGCGGCTTCACCAAGCTGTTCTTGGGCTTCCCAGGCGCCAGGCCGCCCCCAGCAGCCCCGGCCGTGCCCGGGCCTGGGCCCCCGCCGCGGTCCTCGCCCGCGCGCCCGCCGTCCGCCTCCTCCGGCTCGGTGCCCGGCGCGCCCGGGGCGCACGGGGCGGGCACGGCCGGGACCTGCGCGAGCACTGGCTGCGGCTGCCCGGGGCGCGGGCCGGCGTCGTCCGCCTCGTCCAGGCGCAGCTCGGGCGGCCCCGCGGGGCTGTCGCCGCCCGCGTCGCTGTCCTTGTCCTCCAGGCCGTCGTCGCCTTCGCCCACCACATCGATGTCCACGTCTTCGGCCGTCAGCACCGTCTGGCCGGACATGTCGCGGGCGCCGCCGCCACCGGAGAGGGTCATTCCTCCGGGCTGGGGAGCTGGAGCGCGCGCGGGACGGCCGGGGCCGGGATGGAGCGAGCGGGACGCGGCGCGGTCGGATCACGCGCGGAGGCCCCACATCGCGCCCCGCGGACGCCGCACCCGGCCCGGCCCGCCGGCCTCGGCTCGCCGGCCGCGCGTGGGGCGCAGGAGGAGCGCGGGGCGGAGCGGGCGCGGGCGGCGCTCCTTGAACGGCGGCTCGGGCGGGCGCGGGCAGGGCCGCCCCGGGGGGTGTCGGCGCGGAGCCCCGATAGTTGAAAGTCCCGTTTTAAGGACTGGCCTGATAGATTACTTTCTACTTAAAGATCCAGCGGGAGGCGGGGCCACGTGACCGCGCGTGACGTCAGGGCCGCCGCGGAGCTGGCCAAACTCAAGTTAGTCCGGGGAATTGTCAACAATGGGGCCAGGACGCGCCACCCGCGGATCCCGGCTTCCCGGCCTGGCGTGAGTGGGCTGGGCTCGGCCAGGCGTGGTCCGAGCGCGGCCGTGGTACCCTGCGCCCCTGGCGTCTTCTGCGCCTTTATCTGTTCCCCTGCCGGGACGCAGAACTGGCCGAGGACAGCGAGGTGCCACCCGGGGTCAGGGTGGGGGCAAACTTATAGCCTCTTGTTTATCGTTTCAGCTCCAAAGAGCGAGCGCGGGGTCCCCTCGCCAAGCCGAGCAGGGGCCCCGCTGGGAGCACCTGCACCGCCCGCCCTCCCTGCCAGCCGCGGGTCCCCGCCGGATCCCGCCGCGTCTCCCGCACGATTTTCTAGAGATCTGTGCTTTTTCTGCGGCGCGGTCATCGCAGCATCAGCTAGGATTCCCGAAGGTCAGAAAATAGCTATCGATTAATCTATTAGAACAGTTACCGAGAGAAATGAAAACCATGTAAAAGAACCGGGAACTTATAAATAAGGAGGCGGCGGCGGCCTTGGCATGCAGTCGTTAAGTGACTTAGCATATGAAAAAGGCGGAAATGCAGAGCCACTGGCCGCCGGGGTGAGTCGCGCCCCGGGAGGGGCTCGAGCCACTAGTAGACGCCGCGGGCGGCAAGGGCAGAGGCCACGCGGAGCCGGGGTCCCCTTAGCTCCCCCTTGACGCGGCTTCTCTCTTAGAGCGAAGGGAACCCGGAGACCCGACTTCGGGACTGGGGCCGCGCGTTCGGAGCTCCTTGGCCAGCGGCGACGGTAGGAAGGACTCGGGCTCCAGAGGTGCGCGGCGGTGGGGACCTCGCGTCGCCGGGAGGAAGCGACGGCCCAGTCCGCGTCACCTCCCACTCCAGGCCACCTAGCTGGGAGCACGGCGCGTGTGACGCAGGGTCCATGTCACCCTGGACCTCGGGCCTGGGAGGACGAGCGAGGGTCGAGGCCCGGAGGGGAGGGTTCAGTGGAATGTTTGCGGGAGGTGCTGGGAAACCGACCCGATTTCCTGGGGACCGCGCTGCTTTGTCCCCCAGCCTTTCCCACCCAGTGCTCTACTGAAACAAGAATTCAGCTCCGGCTGCCTGCTCGGCGACAGGCAAGCTTTTTCTTTCTCCAGTTTCCCCGGATGCAGCATCGGTCCCTGGGGTTTCCTCGGGTGTCCTGGTTGAGGCTGGGGACAAGGTGGGCGCGGTGACTGCATCCTGAGGCTGTCCCTCAGCCCCCACGGTCTCTCTGTTTGCAGATGGTCTCGGGGTCACCCCTGACCCTCAAACGCATCTCTGAGTGGATTTCTGTAGCCCGCCGTTTCCCGTTGGCCCGCTGGCTCCAAGCCCATCTGGACGGCCTTCCAAAAACCCACGCAAGTTTAGAGCCGGCGCCCCCACCCTGGCTGCTGAGGTTGCGGCTGCCACTAGACGAACACCGAGCCCAAGGAAGGTCGCCGGGAAAAGGAAAAACAGCCAAAACTCGAATTTCGAAACTCTTTCTGTTTAGTGTGGGGCTCTCACCCCTGGGCAGGCGCCGCCCGCTGGGCCCTGCCCTGGCTCTGCGTGGGTGCTCTCACGAGTGTTCACACACGCGCGAGAGTGGTGGCTCGGCCGGCCACACCGGCCCCTTGGAAGCTGTCCCCGAATGCACCTTGCCTGGGTGCCCGAGGCCGGGTCTGCGCGCGCCGTCCCTGGAGAGGGGGTGGGAGAAACACCCAGCTGCCGGTCCCATTTGTCGCGCTTTTCTCCTTCGACACAATAAAAGTCAAATTAATTGATTCATACCATTAATTACGGCTCGTAGCGTGAAAAGCAACGCTTCCCCTCGGTGCGAGATCTATTGTGCTAATCTCATGTTCAATCAGTGTTGCCATCTGATGCAGGGCGGCCCTGGCAGGAACTTTTCGACTCGATTAGCTCAATGATAAGCCGCGCAGGGCTGGCTAGCTGGGCCCCGACGCCCCAGCTCGATTTCCCGCGGGGGCAGCGGGGTTCTCTTGCTCACACTGGCTGGGAACCGGTCCCGGTGGTCAGGAAATCGCAGGGCGCTGCAGGTCCCCAACTCTCAGCCTCCCCCAAACTTCAGAAGCCAGACAGATAGGAGAACAGGGGTGCACAGTGGGGCAAAGAAAAACGCGATGGTGGGGACCGAAATCAGGGGTGGTCACAGGAAGGCCCAAAGGCGGTGGGTGGCTGGAGGTACGGCGAGGGCCGACTTTGGTCCCAAGGAGCCAGGGTCCCCAGAGAGGCGGGAAGACGGTGCGGCCTCGTCGCTCCGGTGCAGGGGACAAGGAGCCAGGCAGAGAGGCCTGGGCTTCCTTCCGGTCCTCTAGGGCAGGGAGGCTGCTGGGACCCGCCGGGCCACAGAAAGCCAGGAGAGTGGAGGAGGGAAGGTCTGGTGCGCGCGCCAGGGGCGGGGTGGGGTCCGGGACGACGGTACTTACAACCCAGTTTGGGTTCCTCAGCAGTCCACACCCGGGAACGCGTGTGGCCACCCTGCCCCTGGCCAGCCTGGGCGCGCACGGTCTTATCTCTCCTTTCGCCGGAGGCTGAGCCCGAGGCCATGCGACCCCGGCCGCCTTGTGCGGGAGACTGAGCAGCCCCGCGCGCGGAGCAGTTTTCTCCCCACCCGGGAAGGCGGCCGGGCGCGGCGCGAGTACAGGCGTGGGTGGAACCTCCGGGGGAGTCCTTGAGCCCACTCTGCCGCTGCCTGCTCCTTCGTGGCCACCGTCGCGGGTTCCTTTAACCACCACCGACGTCTTTTGTCCGCGTGGCTGCGCTGAGCGCGGTGGGAAGGAGACAGGTGGCACCTGGGTCCCCAACCCAGCCCTGGGTGGGATCGCAGTGTACTTCTCAGCCCCTCCCCCGCGGATTCCTCTTGTGGTCCCTTCCGGGCGGGGGGAAAAAGCTAATTTCACGTCCTTGTTTGGATTTGCATCTCCAAACTTCATTTATTTCCAGTGCCCACCACCAAGAGTCCTCGCCAAGGCCACCCGGTAAATGGCGAGAGACCAAAAGGAAAGGAGAGGGGGGAGAGGATGGTTCCGAATTTATTTATATTGGAAATGTATAAACATCCATTCTGTGAAAGGCAACACGTTTAATTAACGATGAGAGAGCAGTTAGGGGCAGAAAGCTAGTAAAATTGTGTGATAAATTTATGGCATTGTTAGCGTGCTTTTAATTATGGCTATTATGTTAATTATTTCACATTAGCATGGAGTTATCAGCAGCATGTCAGATTTAATCAAAACGAGCCTCTCTCTCGAAAATTGTTCTTTTCATCTCGAGGAGCAAGGTCCCGGGCTGGACCAGGGTGTAAGCGACTTGGCGTCAGGACCCCCACGTCTCCATTGCGTGCGGCCCGTGGCTCCCTCCGGGCCTCCCGCGGGGGCGCAGGAGCCCGGGGCTGGGTTTTTAGGAATTCACCATTCGCCCCCTTCGAGGCGACACTTCATCAAGCGCGGCGCCTGTCAAACACCATGAGGCCGCTCGTCCTGATCCGCGCAGCCCCGCGCCGCAGCCACAAAGCCCAGCCCGGAGCGGAACGCGCAGAGCCGGGGCCACACGGCCGAGGAGGATGCGCCCGCGCCCAGGTGCGGCAGCCCGAGGGTGGCCCCGGCCCGCGAGCGACGGGCCCACCCAGGCCACATCGATTTCTTAATCAGTGGCGATCGATTTATTGGGGGCAAATAAATAGCCGAGTTTGGAACGTTTCGCGGGCGCGAAGGCCGGGCGCGCCGCGGGTGCTGTGGAGCGGCGGAGGGCGCGGCGAGCACCCCAACCCCGGCTGGGCGCCTCCTCCCCGACGCGCGCAGCTCCCGCCGCCCGGGTCCGGGTGCCCCGCTCTCCGCTCCCGGGACCCCAGGTCCCGCGGACACCCACAGGCTCTGCCCAGACCCGGGCCCGGAGGTCCCCAGGCCTGGCACCCAGCCACCCCCGGCCTCGCGGCCTCCTGCCCGGGACCGTCACCCCTTCCCGGCCGGGCTGTGCGCCGCCAGCTGCTGCCTTATTTTTAGCTCCATCCCTGCGCGCGGTTATATTTAACTCGATCCGCTTCTGCGAGGAGGTCGCGCGGACACCGAATTCCCCGCATCGCGCCCGGCCCGCCCTCCCGGCCTGGGCCAGCTCCTCGGCGGCCTGGAAAACCCCTGCCCGGGCATCTGGGCCATCCTAGAGCTGGGCAAGGACGCGGGGCTCCGGGCTCCGGGAGCCACTGCCGCCGCCGGGCCCGCCTGGTGGGAGGGGAGGGGGCGGAGACCCGCGGAGGCGCGGGCGCGTTTCCTCCTTGTGCCAGGCCTGGGGCGCAGGAGAGACCTGGCGCACCTCCGGCCAGCCTTGTCTTCCAAGCGTTTCTGATGTTTAGCTGGGCACTGTAATCTCTGCAGTCTGGGAGGCTGAGGCAGGGAGGTCACAGATTCTAGGCTGGCCCAGAAATTTAGCGACCTAGCGAAACGCTGTTGCACACCCCGCCCCCCAAACCGAGGCTTTGAGAATGTAACAGTGTGAAAGCTCTGTTTACTCTCCAGGACCATAGAGGAGGAAAGGGCTGTGATTTTGATTGTTCTCATGCAGAAATTCCTTCTTCCTCCTATTCACACCCAGAAGAACCCCCTAACTCCCCAGAATATATTGGCCACGTCCACAAAGACCAGAGTGGATCCAAAAACCGCGCACGAGTCCTCGACACGACCAAGGGCAGCAAAAAGCAGCTAGAACATCTGAGTTCTCTCGTTTTTAAAGGAAATGACTTTTCTCCCCTATCCCTGAAGTAGGTTTTTCTGGCAGCCCCTTTTTGTAGGTCTCCTGCAGGGTAGAAACTGGGGAGAGGACCTGTGTTTGTAGCATGCTTTCTTCTCTTGGTACTT